ATTAGAGGAATTCCATGACGTACCTTACGCGGGACATTTCGGGAGCAACAAGACGTTAGCGGGAATAGCGAAGTATTACTACTGGCCCCGGATGGCAGCAGACGTGCAGCAGTTCGTCACCTCATGCGACACATGCCAGCGGATGAAGAGTAGCAAGCAGAAAAAAGCAGGGTTACTTCAGCCTCTACCCATACCGGAGCAGCCATGGCAGGTCGTTAGCCTCGACTTCATCACAGGACTTCCCTCGACCTCACGAGGACACGATTCCATCCTCGTAGTAATCGATAAGTTCTCCAAAATGGGTCATTTCATACCGACCAACGCCACAGCTACAGCTGAAGCAACTGCTCGCCTCTTCTTCGACCGCATCATCACCATCCACGGCATCCCCGCTACACTTATCTCAGACAGAGACCCAAAATTCACAAGTAAGTTCTGGAAGGAGCTTATGGGACTGCTGGGGACCAAGCTTGCCATGTCTTCAGCATACCATCCCCAGACTGACGGACAGACGGAGCGACTCAATCAGGTGGTTGAACAGTTACTGCGTACAGCTTGCAAGGACGACATCAGCCACAAGGACGCACAGTTACCGACCTTAGAGTTCGCTTACAACAACGCCTCGCATGCGGCCACAGGGAAAACCCCTTTCTTCCTGTGCTATGGACGGGAACCACTCACACCACAGCAGCCGACCACACCGGCACACGTCCAAGCCGCACACGACTTCGTCACCACCATGCAGCAGCTATGGGAGAAGACTCAGCGACGTCTCACCACGATGCAGAACTCCCAAAAGCAGTATGCCGATCGCCAGCGACGAGATCACTCAGTAGCAGTCGGAGATCAGGTGCTTCTCGACACGCGCAACTTGAACCTGTCTCACCTTCCATTGAAGCTCCGGCCTCGCTTCTGTGGTCCTTTTCTCGTGGAGGCACAGGTGACACCAGTTACATTCCGCTTGCGCTTACCAGATACGTGGAAGCTTCACAATGCTTTCCATGTTCAGCTGCTGAAACCCTACAAGGACCCCAACCACCAGTTCCAGGGACGGCAGCTACCGCCACCTCCACCTGTCCTCGTGCAGGATGAACGAGAGTACGAGATCGAGCGAGTTTTCACTCATCGGCGCCGCGGTGGCAAGACCCTCGAGTTCCTGATACGTTGGAAGGAATATGACCCCATTGAGGACAGTTGGGTTGCAGAAGCTGATATGGGCAATGCACGCCGTGCTCTCCAGGACTATCTTGTCAAGCAGGGTGTATCTCACGCCACCCAGCTTTGAGGGGGGACGTGTGAGAGTACGACGGCTTATGCCAGCTATGCATGCTTGCCTTTACTTTATTATGCTACTTCTAGCTTAGGTTTATTTTATGCATGCATGAATTGCTTGATTTCCTAGGCTAGGTGCTTTCCTATATTTTATTATAGTTATAGCACCGAGCTAGGTTGCGTACACCGAATTCTGGGCTATTCGGTTGCCACCGAATTGCCTTCTACCGAATTCGGGAAGGGTCTGTTCGGGACGCTTCGCGACCCCCAGTACCTTCGCGTAGCACCTGGTTACTGCCCCTTGTGTCGAGCCTATATATAGCCTCGTGTTGTACCCAGGTGATCATTCAATTCAAACTCTCTTTTCTGAGCTCGATCCTAGATCCTCACACAATTGCTCGCCTCTTCTTCGACCGCATCATCACCATCCACGGCATCCCCGCTACACTTATCTCGGACAGAGACCCTAAGTTCACTAGTAAGTTCTGGAGGGAACTCATGGGATTGTTGGGGACAAAGCTTGCGATGTCTTCAGCGTACCACCCCCAGACTGACGGACAGACAGAGCGACTCAATCAGGTGGTTGAACAGTTACTGCACACAGCTTGCAAAGACGACGTCAGCCACTGGGATTCACAGTTACCGACACTTGAGTTCGCTTACAATAACGCGTCGCATGCGGCCACAGGGAAATCTCCATTCTTCCTGTGCTACGGACGGGAACCACTTACACCACAGCAGCCAACCACACCGGCACACGTCCAAGCCGCACACGACTTCGTCACCACCATGCGGCAGTTATGGGAGAAGACTCAGCGACATCTGTCCACGATGCAGAACTCCCAGAAGCTATATGCCGATCGCCAGCGACGTGATTACTCGGTAGTAGTCGGAGATCAGGTGCTTCTTGACACGCACAACTTGAACCTGTCTCACCTACCGTCCAAACTCCGGCCTCGCTTCTGTGGTCCTTTTCGCATTGAGGCACAGGTGACACCAGTAACATTCCGCTTGCGCTTACCTACTACGTGGAAGCTTCACAACGCTTTCCATGTTCAGCTACAAAAGCCCTATAAGAAGCCCCAACCAACAGTTCCAGGGACGCCAGCTACCGCCACCATCACCTGTTCTCGTACAGGATGAACCAGAGTACGAGGTGGAACGAGTTCTCGCTCATCGACGCAGACGCGGCAACACGCTCGAGTTTCTGATGCGCTGGAAGAGATATGACCCATCGGAGGACAGTTGGGTTGTAGAAGCTGATATGGGCAACGCACGCCGTGCTCTCAAGGACTATCTTGTCAAGCAGGGTGTTTCTCACGCCACCCAGCTTTGAGGGGGGGACGTGTGAGAGTACGACGGCTTATGCTGGCTTTGCTAGCTTGCCTGGACTTTATTATGTTATTACTAGCTTAGCTTTATTTTATCTTGCATGCTTTTGCTTGATTTCCTAGGTTCGTTGCTTTTACTATATTATTATGATTTTAGGCACCGAATTGCCTTCTACCGAATTCGGGAAGGACCCGTTCGGGACGCTTCGCGACCCGCGGAACCTTCTAGTAACACCCGGGTTACTGCCTTTGTGTCGAGCCTATATATAGCCTCGCCTTGTACCCAGGTGAATCATTCAATAGAATCATCTTTCCTAAACCAGATCCTCACAGGCATTGTGGCCTCTTGCTTGTGCTCAGACTGTGTGGTAATATTGAGATCCACCCTGAGCTTTGCTTTGTTTTGCTTTGTCCTTTTACTCAACCGGTCTTGTGACCGTTGGTTGTTCTTGTTGCTATCCCCTACTTTGGCTATAAGGGTGTGTCAAAACTCATTTATATGTTTGTCGGCTGTAGTGCGGTAGCTTACATAGGGTACAACCCTTTTAGGGTTGTCTACTTGTACTCTTCATCCATCTAGTGAAGCGATTCCTGTCTCGTACTTCTGACACGGGTGTGCAGGTAGCAGTGGCGCACAGGGCAGCGACAACACACGGGTTGGCAGTGGCGTGCGGGGGAGGGGCAGCACGCAAGCAGCGGTGGCGGCGCACGCGAGGCAGCGCGCAGGGGCAGGGCAGGGCGAACGCGGGGGGCAGCTCAATCGCACGGGGCAGGGCGAGCTCGCGGGGGCACACGGGCAGCAGCAGTGCGCAGGGCAGCGAGAAGGGCACGCGTGGGGCAGCACAAGGGCGCACACGGCAGCGCAAGGGCGTGCACGGGGCAGCACAAGGGGTGCGCGCGGGGCAGCTATAACGGTGCGTGCAGGGCATCGCGTGAGGGGCAGTGTGAGGCAAACCTAACCTAGGTACGGCAGCAGGTACGACAGGTACAATAGGACCTCAGGTACCATGTTAAAATCATACGCAATGGAAGTGGTGAAATATGAATCAAGGATGATAAAAGTACTAACCCTAAATGGGTTGAACCCTAAATGGGCTACCCCACTATAACCTATATCTTGCAAATATATAATATTTGACAGTGGGTTGTACCCTCTAAAGCATGCCTCACTACCATGCCCTATGTTATCAGGATAATTTATCATGAATTTCCTGAATTCAGGATAGGTGTTGCGTGCTTCTCCTGAAGAAACAGCTTGACGAAAATACCGGTCCTGTAAAATTAGTATAATGGTTATTATGCGTCCTGAGAATTCAGTATAATGCTGTAGGTTCAGCCCTGATGAGTCAGGATAGTGTCGAGACTCTTCTTGAGGTGAGCACTGCGCAAAATTTTTCCCGGGCCTAGTATACCCAACCACCGACCCGGTACAGTGTAAGTTACGTCACGTAGCGAAAAACGAGACCGCGCCCAACCTAGAAACACATCATTGCTGTAATCACTACCAATTTGTGTGCACCGCTGACTTAGCACGCGGGAGAAGCACTGCCAACTTTGCAAGATCCTGTTGGCACGCGCTTCCCTCCTAGCCATGAAACCAGACCCTTATCCAACCCACACCCGCATTCTCGTCCACATCAACAGAACTTCACGCGACGCACTGATCTGCCAGGATACTGTCAAATTCCGCACTTACGGCTCCACATACCTTTCCCCCAGTCTAGCCCTGACAAATCAAGATAAAATTCAACTTCCTACCAAACTGCTCTGAGGCCTCAGTGTACCCTCAAACGAATCTGAGGGCCTGCTCACTACAGCCTATCAACAAATTGTCAGAATCTCCCTGTCGCTGACTGAAGCCTCGAGCAACGTAACGAGCCTTGAAGACAGGCAGAGAACCCGGCGGCCGCTTCTCCTGAAAATCCACATGTCATCGACTATGTTCGCCCCAGGAGGGGGAACTGCATCGACGTAAGTGCCTGTGGACTTCCAGGATGCCATCTATGCGTCCATGGCTGTCTGCCACTGAGAGGAGTAAGGACCCGAAATCGCCTCTGCGTAAGAGCGCGGGGTCGGGATGTCTAGTGCATCTAGGTCTCCCTCAGGTGCAAGCACCCAGGCCACGAGATGAGGTACAGCAGCCGCAAGACACTCAAAGTCCTCCTGCCTGTCCTCTTGGACGTCCGTGCAAGAGGAAACTCACCCCCGACGGACGGAGGACAGACAGACTCAGACTCAGCAACAAGACTAGCAGCGTAGTCGAGACGACAGGCAGCAGCAAAGTCCACAAGCTCAGCAACTAAGGCAGACGCAGCAGAAGACTCAAACGACGGGTCAGTGACGACTGTGGCGAGAAGACGCGTGACAGTGGGACTGGCAGCACGGACCAAGTTAGACTCAGGGTCTGGAACGTCAGGAAGAGAGGACGCAGGAGGAGACAGCAGAGGGACACGCTGCGGAACAGAGGAAGGACGAAGTGCCATAGTGTGAGTCCGGAGGAAGGGCAGTGGACGAAGAAAGACTAAGAACCTTACGGAGCACCGACTCAGACGGTAGGTCAGACAGATGCGGCAGCGGCAAGAAAAACGGGTGTTGTTGCACAGTGCCCCCAGCACCAGTACCTCTTGCTCCAGGGTCTCCAGTACCAGCACCTCTAGCTCCAGCACCACCAGCTCCAGCGTCTCCAGCAGCTCCAGTGCCTCCAGCACCTCCAGCTCCAGCGCCACCGGCTCCAGCGTCTCCATCACCAGTACCTCCAGCTCCAGGGTCTCCAGTGCCACCAGCTCCAGCTCCAGCGCCACCAACTCCAGCGCCTCCAGCGCCAGCGTCTCGAGTCTAAGTGCCTCCAGCGCCAGCACTTCCGGCTCCAGCGCCTCCAGCTCCAGCGTCTCCAGCTCCAGTGCCTCCAGCTCCAGCACCTCCAGCTCCAGCGCCTCCAGCTCCAGTGTCTCCAGCTCCAGTGCCTCCAGCTCCAGCGCCTCCAGCGCCAGCACCTCCAGCTCCAGCGCCTCCAGCGCCAGCGCGTTCAGCTCCAGCGTCTCCAGGTCTAGTGCCTCTAGCTCTATTGCCTCCAGTGCCAGCGCCTCCAGCTCCAGTACCTCCAGCTCCAGTGCCTCCAGCGCCAGCGCCTCCAGCCCCAGTGTCTCCAGCTCTAGCGTCGCCAGCTGCAGCAGCGCGACTCCAAAGGCGGGTGCGCCGAGCGAACCACTCGCGCAGCTGCTGTGGGGAGAGAGGCTCCACAGTGCCTCCAGCAGTGCCGCCAGGACTAGCAACCCCAGTACCACCAGTACCTCCAGCTCCAGTACCTCCAGCGGCAGTGCCTCCAGCTCCAGGGCCTCCAGCTCCAGCGCCTCCAACTCCAGCACCTCCAGCTCCAGCGTCTCCAGCTCCAGCGCCTCCAGCGCCAGTGCCCCCAGCTCCAGTGCCTCCAGCTCCAGTACCTCCAGCGCCAGTGCATGCAGCTCCTTTGCCTCCAGCTCCAGCAGCGCGACTCCGAAGGCGAGTGCGCCGAGCAAAACACTCGCGCAGCTGCTGGGGCAAGAAAGGCTCTCGGTGGCTAGACCGCTGCGGCGAGGTACCCGAAGGACTATCACTAGACGCAGCATCCCCAGGCTCAGCACCCCCAGGCTCAGCACCCCTAGCAGCACCCCCAGGCGCAGTACCCTCAGGCTCCGCACGCACAGGCTCAGCACCCCCAGGCTCCGCACGCTCAGGCTCAGCACCCCCAGGCTCCGCACGCTCAGGCTCAGCACCCCCAGGCTCTGCACGCTCAGGCTCAGCACCCCCAGACGCAGCACCCCGAGTAGCACCACCCCCAGCAGCACCAGAGTCACCAGTGACCTCGACAGGCTCAGCTAAGGGAAGTGGGTCTACCTGAGAGACACTCGAAGGAGCAGGACCCTGAGGGGGGAGGGGGTCTACCGGAGGGGGACCTGGAGCGAGGAAGAGCGGCGGAGGGGGGAGAGGGGCAGAGCGGTAGGGGAAGAGACGGTAGAAGGGAACCGACTCGTCAAAAGTGACGTCCTGAGAGGGCAGGACACGGCGCGAGGTGGGGTGGTAAAACTGCCAGCCAGGCGCGTCAGGAGGGAAGCGAAGGAAGATACAGGAAATGGTGCAGGAGGAAATGGTGCGGGAAATGGTGCACGAGAGACCGAGAACCAGAACACCGACGCATCGCCAACCTTCCCCGTCCAAAGCAGTGTAGGCGAGGTCTCCGGCAAGGAGACACGGGGCCAGAGGTTGAGCTGATGCGCAGCGTACCGGACCGCAAACGGCCACAGAAAATGGGGAGCAGCCGCATGGATCATGGAGGTACGAGCCACCTCCATGACTAAGCCAATGCGGCGCTCTGCAATCCCATTCTGCTGCGGGGAGGCCGGAAGCGTGAACGACTGGAGGATGCCCTCCACCTGACAAAAGTCCCGCAAGAGGCCGGACGGAGGAGAACTCACCACCTCTGTCAGAGTGCAGACACAGGACGGGAAGGTCCGTGCGGAACCGCTCGCGGAGCTGGAGACGAACAGCGCGGATCCGAGGGATCAAGATATCAGGGACCTCCCCCTTGCTGCGCAAGGGGAAGACCATGGTGTAACGCGAGTAGTCGTCAACAACCAGCTGAAAGTATCGCTCGCGGCCCAGTCCATTGATGCGGGCTGGGCCCCACACGTCCATGTGGAGAGTCTGCAGGGGAGCAGTCGTCGGGGGAAAGGAGGAGTGAGAAGCGGCGCGCTGCCGCCCCTCGACGCAAGGAATGCAGGGCGGCGCAGGCGAGGCAGGGAGGGGAGGGAGAGACCTGGGAAGACCAGACACAAGAAGACGGGAGTGCGTGCCACGGAGGCGAGGCAGGGAGGGGTGACCAAGGCAGTGGTGCCACAGGAGAGTCTGGTGCGACAGGAGTCGACACGAGCACGAGGCGGACACTTGAGCAGACGCAGCAAAGTGAGGAGGCGCAGTAGTCAGTGTGTACAGACTCGACCCAGGCCGACGGGTGAACGTGGCCAAGTGACGGCCTGTTCGGGAGCACGTGCAGATCGCCACACGCTGGCCTCCAGGGGTAAAGGTATCAACCCCTGCATCCTGAAGGACCGCGTTACTCACCAAGTTCGTCGAGAACGAGGGGAGGTGGAGACCTGACAGTGAGCCGGACGGAACCGCCGGACACGGGAGAACAGTGGAGGAACGTGCAAGAACTGGTCCCCCAGAGGGGTCAACCAGTGAGACTGCAATTGGTCTAGGGAGTGGTGTGATTGTGGTACTGTCGCAAAAGAAGCAGCGAGAAGCACCTTAGTATAGCGTGAAGGTGTGCAAGGCCTCAGCAGGCGCAGTACTAGAGAGAGCAGACTCACTAGCACCTAGAGCAGCAGCCTCTATACCAGGGTCGGGCGGCACACACAGGTAACAGTCACCCTCAGTACCAGCAGTCAAAGCATACATGGCAGTAAAAATAGCGGCATAGTCTAGAGCAAATATATCCACTTTGTCCCGAAGCAGCTCTAGCCAGCGGGGGAGCTCAGCCTCGTCGCCAAACACTGCGCGCCAGGAGTCGTTCAGACAGGCGAAGCAGTGAGACTGTGTGTGGCCAGGTGTCCCGCAATTCTGACCTGCCCGAGCACCTGTGCAAATGACGTACGGGCAGCGAGCAGTACTCCGAGACGCACAACGCTGAGCGTACCACTCACGGAGCTGCTGGGATGTAAGGGTCACTCGGGGAAGCTGCCGCAGCTGCATCTGGCCACCGCCAGAAACTCCCCACTGAACAACGCCACCACGACTGCCACTACGGCTACCGCCACCACTCCCACTGTTGCCACCACCGTCGCCACCACTCCCACCGCTACCACGAAGGTATGTCATAGCGGGCAAAGCAAGGAGGCGTGCGACCAGCAGGGCAGCATGCAGGGAAGGCAGAGCGACGAGCAGGCACTAGGGTAGTGCGTAGGGTAGGGCGGGGTGGCGCACGGTCAGGGAAGTGCGGCGCGCGGCCAGAGCAGGGTGGCGCGCTGCAAGTAGGGCGGCGCTCGGGCTGGGGAGCGTGCGCGAACAGGCAAGAGGCAGTGCGCGGGCTGGAAAGGGCGACGCGCGGGCTGCAAGGGCGGCGCGCAGGCTGCCAGGGCGGCGCGCGGGCAGAAAAGGGCAGCGCGCGGGTTGCACAGGGCGGCGCGCGGCCAGCAGGGCGACGCGACGGGCAGGGGCAGAGCGTACGGGCGACGTGGCGGGCTGGGGCAGCCCGTGCGGGCGACGCGACGGGCAGGGCAGGGCGTTCGGGCGACGCGGCGGGCTAGGGCAGCCCGCACTGGCGACGCGACGGGCAGCAGGGGCGCACGGGCAGCGCGACGCAGGGCAGGACGTTCGTGGGCAGCGCGACGCAGGGCAGGGCGTGCGCGGGGCGGCGCAACGCAGGGCAGGGCAAGGCAGCGCGGCAGCCAGCAGGGCGGCACACGGGCAGGGCAGCGCGACTGGTGGGGCAGCGCGACAGGCAGGGTATGGCGCTACGAGCAGGGTAACGCGCTACGGGCAGGGAACTGTACGGTGGGCCAGGGCTCAGGTTTGGATTTAGCCTGCTCACGATTGGCAGTGTAGCGTTTTCAGAAACCCTTATGAGCAGCGTGTACTTTTCCATTACACTGATAGAGCAGTGTAACATTGAATTTTTTTTTTTTACGCAGAGTCATCAGTGTGGGTTTTTCTCGTACACTGATGGTTGTTCGCTGCGGACACGTGACTGCGGCCAACGCACGTACAGAATAGAAGGTAACCTCGGTACTTGCGTGATTGACAGAAATCACGATCTGACAAATTTCGGGGCAAGGGGGGGGGGGGCGGGGGGAGGGGGGGTCTGTACGCCCTTCAGTGTAACCTTCGATAACTATAAATTTACCCCGACGCATCAGTGTGGCCTACAACGATACACTTACAGATCAGTGTAACACTACTTCACCAAAAAATTACCCCAGCACATCAGTGTAGACCCAAAATTTCACCCTTGTAATCAGTATAGAAGGGTAAATTACACTGATAACCTGAGCCATGCGGTGGGCCCTAAAAAAACGGTCCTGAAGCAGGACCTGCTCTGAAACCATGTCAGAATCTAGCAGCAGGAATGAATGCATTGATGAGAAAGTTGGTACAAGTACTAACCCTAATTGGGTTGTACCCCATATTGGCTACCCCACTACAGCCTACACAGCACTATGTTCTAACACAAATATACCATTTGTGAATACAAAACCAACACAGCAAACTCTTATCCCACAACCGTAATGCTCACCACATACCCCAACTACCAACCTCCCTCGCCCCGCTGATTCCGAATTCCTATTCCCGACTTCAGGATTCTTTGCAACTTGATGGACAGCTTAGGGTACATTCCAGGCTCTGGTCAGCCCTCTTGTCAACTACGCTCGCCAACCGGATACAGGGTAAATACCCCATGGTGTGCGATGAAGGGGTGTGAAATTATCGAGGTGGTGTAATAATCGTAGCCCAATTGGTGAGAAAGGTGTGCAATTTTGGGTCACAATCATGGTTAACCAAAGGTTTGATCAGTGCCAGGAATGCACCCTTAGAAAAACTTCACACAACCTTTTCAAACTGCCCACGCACTGCGCCATTAGGGTACCTCAAAGTGTGAATGTTGCCATAGAACCCACTCGGATTCTTTAGAATCTCCTTGAGAGTTGACACAAACTCCGCTGTCCGTTCTGCCAAATCCTTCCCAAGAAAGCCGTTGCATTTCCAAATTGGGTAGTAACTCGATGGGTCGGAAGATTTATACTTGCATGGCAGATCCAACACCTTGGGACCGTTTGATCCCCATGTTGCCTTGTGCACATGCGTCATGATGATTGGGCACATCCCATTCCAAAAATGCACGCCGTGAAATCCCGGGGCCTGCAACATACCAGCTGCCACCCCGTACTCGAGCCACTCTGGCTGGCCATTTTTCCTGCATATCACATCAGAGAAATAGGGTGTTGATCTTGGTTATTACAGTGTTGAGTGAGAATCAATCACATGACGGACTTGACCCTTTAACTATGGAAGGAGACTCTTGGTACACCAAAACTCTAATAGAGTCGCCGAGGTGGTGAGGGCGGTAGGGCTTCTGTAGTCCCTTTTCCTCGAGGCGACTATAACCGATACTCCCCTCGCCCTAGGGAACCTCCAGAAATGTTGACTGTATAGAATGGGTTTTGAGCAAAAGTAGGTCTGTGAACCTGAACATAACGGGCAGATTCTGGACAGCAATATCTCATTTGTTCTAGCGCCTACACTGTGCGCCTCGAGTCCCACCATCCCTCGTTGGCCTTCAGTGGGTAGTGAACATAATTCGCCACACGTTGCTTCATCATCACTATTTAACTGACGGGACTATGTCGCATTGAACCTTGTACCTAATCAAGACTCGAGGTTCTACTTAATTGCGTGCTCCTCTGTCGAATATTAGCGTGTATCATCAGAGCACCCATTGGCTCCTCCCTGTTAGAGCGGCGGGGGGTTCAGGCCTGACAAACTCACTTGTGGATAATCAATCCCATTTTCGCCCATCCGTAGTCGTCGCCGATGGCGTTCAGGGCAGCTTCAGTGTCATTCTCGGGAATCTCGAGCGGGCTATACAGGGTGGCATTGAAGGAGTCTGTTGAAAGAGAAACCGAGGGGGGAGGTGTGGCGGTAAGACATTGAAAGAGAGCCTCCACGGGTGAGTTCAGATTGGAACTGTCATGCGCCTTTAGAGTTCTGGTGTGTCATAGAAATCCACGGTGGACATATCATGGTGTTTCTTAAGGAAGAAAGATTTTCGGGCATGCAAACCTGGAGCTTCGAACTGACCAGAAGAAACGGGAAGGATTTTTCTGGAAACAGGTTTCTTCTTGGCGTATGCAACCGCCACCAGCGCCGCCGCAAGGAACGCTGCACGAAGCACACACACGACGAGAGGCGAAATCAGCGATCGGGTTACAACACCTGGTTGGCAGCTGGCAAGCAATGAGATGGCACTGGTGTTGCGAACTTACGCCAGGGTAACGCTTACCAAACAGTAAGACGTAGCGAACACGAATAAAGGCCATGAGGTAAAAGAGTTGTCAACAAGAAATCGGTTTGCAAGAGGCAGCAAGTTACTGCTTCTACTGGAGAGAGAAACGGAATGCAGAACTGGACGAGCTTCTAGAGACTGGAATCACCCTCGTTTGTAGTCACGTTGAGTGCCGGGATGGAAGGTACCTCCACGTGGAGACTGACGGACGCCGGAATTACAGGAGATTCCGCAAAGGAATCTCAGCCGGACGATAATCCAAAGTCGAATTTGGAGATGAATCGAGGCGCATGTTATCGCGAACGTCAATAAGTCTGGCGAGCGCATCTCTCGGCATCGAATCAAAATCCGACATTCTTGCCATGTCCGACCTGTTATTGGCCGCAACTCAATAATAGCAACTCTAGGCGAGAAAGGAGAGGCGAGCTACGATTGGCTAATTCGAGGAAGCTATAATGCACGTGTGACGCGTTCGCATCTAAAAAATTGGTGCTTCAGAAACCTACACTGGGGTATCGTCGGAGTTGCGGGGGGGTTAGTTTTTCAGGAGCTATGTTCACGACAATGGGAAACATACGTTTTCAGAGGGTTTGAAGCTCTGTATGTGTTCGCAGGTTCGGCAAATGTATGTTTCAGGGTAACGTGAAAGTAGTTTGAATCTCAACCTCGGCTCTCCCAGAAGGGAGAAGATCAAACTGGGGCCGAACATTAGCAGGAAAGTGACCAAATTAGGGCCGGGCCAACCGTTGGATGTACCTCCGAGGCTGCCCAAGTGGTAGGGCCGAGATTTCGAACCTAGATTTACAGGAAATTACAAGCATTTCGACTTTATTGGATCAGGTTTTTATCTAAAGGTTATGATCGCCGCCTATTACGAAACACGCGTAGCATTCCTCTGGAAGTAGTTTTCATCGTGGTTCTCGGAAAATTTACATTACATTAGCTGACCAAAAAAATAAAACCAAGTCAGAGACGGATGCGACTCGGGGAGGCATCAACCCTAAACTTTACTTTGGTTCCCGTGTTTAGGGTTGATCCCTCCCGAAAATGCGTCCGGGTTCTCTAGGGGATTAGTTTTTCCTCCCTGCCCTAACAATTTCTGGTGGTGTCGTCTAGTGCTTCGTAGTGCTAATAAGTGGACAACATGAAAATTCAAATCCAACAGTTACGACGCGCGGGGTGGTCGGAACCTCTGACAAGTGAAATTGAATTGCGAGTATCGAAAAAACGAATGCTAGCTCCAAAAGTCCAGGCTCGATTTCTCCGGCCCTAATTTGGTCACTTTCCTGCTAATGTTCGGCCCCAATTTGATCTTCTCCCCTCCCAGAATGTAGGCCGTTCCAGATTCGCTGACGAACGACGTGCGGATGTTTTTTTAAGGGAGAATATCAAATTGGGGCCGAACATTAGCAGGAAAGTGACCAAATTAGGGCAGGAGAAACCGAACCTGGACTGTTGGAGCTAAAATCCAAATTTTCTATACTCGCGATTCAATTTTACTTGTCAGAGGTTCCGACCACCCCGCGCGTCGTAACAGTTGGATTTGATTTTTCAGGTCGTTATGTCGAAATAAACCAGTGTTTTCCACTCATCAGCACTACGAGGCACTAGACGAAGGTACCAGAAATTGTAAGGGCAGGGAGGAAAAACTAATTCCCTAGAGAACCCGGACGTATTTTCGGGAGGGATCAACCCTAAACACGGGAACCCAAGTAGAGCTTAGGGTTGATGCCTCCCCGAGTCGCATCCGTATCTGACTTGGTTTTATTTTTTTGGTAAGCTAAAGTAATGTAAATTTTCCGAGAACCACAATGAAACC